AAAAAATTGAAACTATTCTTTTGGATAATACCGCTAATATCATCAAAATACCGAATATAGGGAGGTATGGTTATATGGCGGCTATACGAAGACCTGTGTAGATAATATTCTGTCACATGCTGTAGCACCCATTTCGAAGTGCAAATACGAAATTTGAAACCATTCCGGGGAATAATGACGCTGAAATCATCAAAATAATATATATCGGGAGGAACTGTTATATGGGTCGTGGACCTATATAGACAATTATCTTCCAAGAGGCAAAGTGCTTACAAAAACTCCTTGTGTAGAATTTTAGACACTTCCGTTGAAAAATATCGCTAAAATCATCGAAATAAATAGGCTATACTATAATTATGGCTCGATGTAGGCCATCATCAAACTTGACTTGCCTGCAGTCAAAAAACTATTCTGTGCAAAATGTTAGCTTCCTTTCTTAATTTGCCGGACTTACTTTAGCACTTCTGGTTGGGTTCCTTCTGTAATAGTTTTTGTGTAACAGATAGTTATTTAAAGTTATAATCCATTTGTAGAAGAGATATCTGGAAGATCGATCAATTTTCGTTCTTGATATAAAGCTGATGCAGACATAACGATTTGCAATATTCATGTTCTCAGAAATTTTGAAATTTTTACGTGAGGAAATTATCCTCATTGATATTGTCCCACAATGATATAGTACCATTTTGTCTGCAGGCAAGTCATATTACAATGTACACTTTCCGAGAGTGCGCACCACGCAGACAACTCTAAATGTCCTGCAACGAATTTGATTTAAAGGCATATGTGGTATATAATCATTGCTTCGGTAGGAGCTATTTTAGCCTTATTAAATGAGATATATCATCTACTATGATAAGTCTGGGGGTATAATTACGCAAACGAAGTAAAGGAAAATTTATAATTTAATATTCCTTCAAAAATATGTTTTTAATATTCTCACCTAATTTTATGATGATGATGACGACAAAATTGTTAACACCTCCAATTTAAGTCAATTTATCATGACCCACCTGAGCACATCACCATCAATGAAAGTGATCCAAATTGTGGTCAATGCAAACTTCACAATAAAGCTAAATGTGTAATTTCCCATGCACGGAACCTATATACATACCTATCTACATACAATCACAACATTGTTGAATGTTCTTAATGATCGCTTTAATGCTGACATAGTAGGTATGCCGCCAGAACGAAAGACGATTTACCAACAGTGTAAGCTAAGACGCCTAAAACAAGTGCTTAACAAAATCCGCCAGCAAAACAGAAAATGCAGTCGAAATAAACATTCTAAATTAAACAGAGCTTAACTTGACAAGTAAACGAAGCGATTTTTTTTTTTTTTTTTTTTTGATTCTGTACCCAAGAAGAAAAAACGTAACACAAAACAAATTGCAATCTTATTTTAAATCGCATTTATTCAATGCAAATTACAATGAATTCTGACGACTTGGAATACAAAATTCTCAACGCGCTTGTTTCAATTTAGCAAAAAAGTTAAAACAACAAAAAGACCAAAAAAAAACACAACAAAATATTTCATCAAACTGAAGCGACAACAACAATATCGCATTTACGAAAAGTTAAAATGTGCGCATGCGTAACATCTTCGCGCTTCAACCAACACCAGTAATGCTGGCTGGCTCGCTGGCGAGCTGATGGTGGCGATGTGATGTTTACAGCAAAAATCTGAAAAGAAACGAGGAATTGCGAGCACTCACCAACACCAGTGAACGTACAAAAACGCTGACGCTGGAAACGAAGTCAGCAACAATAACAAAAAACACCGCCAAGAAGAGGAAAATGTTCGTAAAGCATCATCAAGAAGCTTTTGCTGCTGTTGGATTCGGGGAGAATACCACCAAGTAACTGACTGCTCCACAAAAGAAATAAATACAGCAACAACGCGGGCCATGACTGTTATTTGATGTGAACAGACGGACGAGTGAACGTCGTCGTTATCGTCGCTCGAACAGAAACAAAAGAACAGAACAAAAACGAAAAGAAAATTCTTAAGTTATTTGAAAAACTGAAAGATAACCATAAAGTGGGTTCGAAGTGGATTTTTGTGAAAAAATTTAAATTAAAAAAATTATAAACAAATATAAAAAAAAAAATAAATAATTTTTAATTCTAGGTTAAAAATAATCGAAAGAAAGTGCTTAACGAAAATTCAAAATTCCAAGGTCGTGAAAACATTAAAAAAATCAATTTCAAAATGGTGAGTGTTGGAAATCGAACAATTGTTAAGTGTTGAAAAAAGGACATACGAGTTTTGTAGAAATGATATTTATTTAGAAAAAAAAAACTGAATACCCGGATTTATAAAAATATGCGAAATTATTATTGACTTGGCAATGAAAACCCATTGGATTTTAACCACCATTGTGCGATGTCCTCGCTTTCGCTGTGTAAACAATATACCACAACTCCGCTCAATCTAGTTAACCTGCTTTGCATCATTGAATGTGTTAATGAAAATGTTTTTTTTTTATTTTAATTTTTGATTTCATTACAAAATCCAGTGCATCGAACTGACATTGAACATTGGCTTATAAACGCGAAGATAATATTACATGACAGCATTTTTGATAACCAATATTGGCTATAATCGAAACTGTTTTTTTTTTTTTTTCAAGTGAAATCGTCTTCAGTTTTGTTGGTTTGGTTTGGTTTCGTTTGTTGTGTACTGTGGACTTACATATGTTAAGTGACAGTGACAGAACTGGTGTGATCTCAGCGATTATTTATCTTAATTCAAAATTCACATGAATATCAACTTTCCAATTTTGGTGGTATTGAAAATTGTAAAAACAGTGGGCGATACACCGATCATCAAATATGTAATTCTAAATGGCAATCATGTTTAACAAAAATTTCAAAAATAGTCATATTGAGTTGAAGATTTTAAAAATTTGTAATGCAAAAAAGCTAATAATGGAAATTTATTGGAATTAATACGAAATTTATAAAACAGCCATATTGAGATAAAGAATTTGAGAATTTGTAATCTAAAAATGGAAATGTATTGGAATCAAATTAGTTTTGATTATGTGCTACGTTTTAACAAACTTCCCTCACACATTTTTTAAGTTCGGAAATATCACAGGATTTGCAATTTACATTAAAAGTCGGATCAAAGTAGACTTGGGTAGGGGACTGCCCTATATACCCTCATCCACACATTCCAATTTTATATTATTTTGCAAACTTATTGCTAAAAATTCAGGAAACTTTAGAATTTTATTTAAAACTAGTAAAATTGACATGCAATTTTAAAGAAATCGTCAAAATACCGAACATCGGGATGTGCCGTTATATCGGAGCTATTGGAAAATATGGACTTATATGGACAATGTAATATTAAAGGAAGCAGGTCCTTCTACCAGATCTAAATATAGAATTTTAAATAATTTTGATAGAAATTGTGGCTTAAATTATTAATATATCGGATATCAGGAGACAAAGTTATATGGGGACTATACGAAAACGTAGACCAACGTGGCCCATTTACGAACTTAGCCCGCCTACGTTTTTAGGCTTCCATCTCAATTTGTTCGAAAAAGCATAATCACAACAGACAGACTAAATCGATTTAATCAAATAATGTCGCTAAATAATGTCGCTTAAGTCATTAAAATATCAAATATCGGGAGGTATCGTTATATGGGGGCTATACGAAAACGTGGACCTGCACAGACTATTTTCTGTCTTAGGCTGCAGAATGTATTACGAACTTCAAATACCAAATTTGAAACAATTCCGTAGAATAATGTCGTTAAAATCGTCAAAATACCGAATATCTGGTGGTATCGTTATATGGCGGCTATAAGAAGACGTGGACCTGCACAGACAATTTTCTGTCGGAGGCTGTAGTATCCATTACGAACTTCAAATACCAAATTTAAAACAATTCCGGCGAGTAATTTCGCTAAAATCATGAAAGTATCCATTATCGGGAGATACCGTTATATGGGGGCTATACGAAGGCGTAAACCTGCGCAGACAATTGTCTGTCTTAGGCTGTAGTATCCATTACGAACTTCAAATACCGAATTCGCTAAAATACCGAAAATAGAGAGGCACCATGGGGGCTATACCAAAACGTGGATCTACATGACACATTTTCAATAGCAAAAGCCCTGCAGGCATGATATAGATTCGAGTATAATTCGGATGCTAATTTCGCATTTTATTAGCGTTTTTTTTATTCAAAATTTTGACTCTTTGTGGGGGAAGGAGTGGATCGACATTGCCCCTCTCCGTACTCGATTTAAGTTTGACAATAATATTATGATGTACCAATGTTAGAACAAATCGGACACTCCCTTCGAGAATTATCGTGCGCACCAGCCAGACAGACGGACGGACACCCCTAGTTTGACTCCAAATGTCCTGAAAAGGATTTGGTACAAAGAATACAGGATCTAAAATTATCTTAAATTACCTTTGCCATGACAAAAGGATAAGTGTCTGAACGCACACTGAGATCATGAGTCGAATGTTCCCCCATAGCTCGTAGAATTTCCCTTGATAGAGCCGGACAGTGGCATAATAGGCGTTTGATCCTTTTATTCTTTTTCTCATCCTCACACAAACTGCAGCATTCGATGTTATAGTTTCCCATTTGGACATTCTGGATGGGATGTTGGAGTGGCTTGTTATTCATGCTCAATAGAGACTGAAATCTATGCGTGTATATATTTACTTACATTTGTTTTGTTACCATGCACCGTGTTCCTTTGGCTTTCTCCCTGAAGATTAGTTCTAATGCTCTGTTATAATGACAAAGCTGGACTTTTAACGTGTTGGCGACTTCAAGGTCTGTTGACTGCGAGTCCATCCGTACCAATTCATCGGCTTTCTCATTTCCTTCAACATTACAATGAGCAATTACAATGCCGGTTAGTTGTGTGCAGTTCTACAGAGCTGTTCTACACCTCAGGACAGCATCAGAATTGATTTTGAAAGATTCAATAGCTTTAAGAGCCTCTTGATTTTATACATACAGGGTGAGATGAAAGAACAGCAACCCAGTTCAGACTGCTATCATTTCTAAGCCACTTGTCCGACAGCTGTTAAAATTATTTCAGTGACAGCTCATTATATTGTTTACAAGCGTAGAAAAGCATTTTGGTTAGAATTTTCCAGAAAAATCTTGATAGTGTGACTTCTTTATATTTGGCTGGAAAACCAGAAGTGGCTATCGTTAGAGCACTCCAGAGCATATTGAAAAACGAGCTCGGGGTAAAGCCATTAAAATTCCAAAAAGTGCAAGAATTACACCGCAACAGAAAGAAACTAGACTCAAAAGAGCTAAAGAATTGCTTCGCTTGGCCGAAAGTGGTGAACTGCCGAGTTTGGTTTTCTCAGTCTCCGACGAGAAAACATTCGTGTTTACTTGCCAAAGAGGTCAGCTGAAAATGTACACCTTCGGTTGGCCACCGGAACCTAAGCGTCGGCCATGGTGATGGTGTGGGTCGCCATAACAGCCGATGGTCGCTCTCCGCTCGTATTAATCGACCATGGCATCAGAATATTCTGGAGGGTGTATTAAAGCCTTGGGCACTCAAACATTTTGTCCGCATATCTTGGACATTCCAACAGGACTCAACACCGTCGCACTCAGCACGCGTCACCCAAGAATAGTTACAAAATGAGGTTCCTCGCTTCATTTCTAGCGCCAAATGGCCACCAAAATCTCCGGATACCAATCCGTTGGACTATTGTGGCTGGAGTATTTTGGAAAGCAAGGTTGGCACTAAAAAATACCAAAGTGTCGATCTCCTCAAGCATGCGCTGCGCCGGGAATGGGCCAAAATAAAAGGTGACAAATTCCAACAAATCTAAACTTATTCTAAAATTTGATGCTATTTCCGAAAATTTTTGCTTTCATTCAATAATATTTACAAAAAGAACTGAAGATAGATAGCTGTTTTTAAAGCAAATGTGTGTAGGATACCATAAATTTGTATGTCTTCTGTGTACGTCCAAAAATGATTCATATTATTTTTATTTTGCTTTGGCCATTATTAATCTCAACACTCCATAAAAATGCATTGAAAGCTACCTATTTTAATATTTTTTTTTATATTTTTATATGCTAAGACTACATTCCTCGACCAAAAAAAGCATCACAAACATTTTCAAACCCAAAAATGCTACCATTATTAGTCTATCAATCAATTTCAGCTTAACTAACTCCCCCACTGTGAGGAGCAAAATTGAAATTTTAAAATTTATATTTAACAAAAACGAATATTTCAATTATTAACGGCAATTAACAAAAATCACATTGATTTTGGCATTATAACACAAAAACGTCATTGTACGGCTGCAGTTTTTTCCACTGACTGATTGATTAATACCTTCCGCATTCTGATGGGATTAAAATAAAAGTTTTGAGATTTTGTATTTTCTCCTAATAAGAAATTTTAAAAATTCCCCACATTAAATTGAAAACAATAAAAATTGATTGAATACAACTTTCATCTTATCGATTTGAGTTGCAAATTCGTGTGCAAATGTATTCAGAAATTTTGAAAAGATGACATAGAAAATGTTTGGCGAATGACAACCATATGAATGGAGATGACATATGATGACACCAACAAAAATGAAAATATGTTAATGGAGGCTGATTTGATAGGAGTGTGGGTTTTTTCTGTATGAGATCTAGCAACAATTAACTATTTGTAGAAAGTAAAAGCCTAGTCTTTTCTTTGTATTCACTATGAAAGCCAAATTTGAATACTTCTATTAAATATTCAAATGAACAAGATTTTCTCTATGAATCTCATTTAAATCATCATTATAATGATAAGCATTAATAATATGCTATTAGCAAAACTGCCATATTTCCAATATTTATTGAGACGAATTGTTCATGTCGTGAAATCAAGCATGCTATTAACGTGTCAATCCGCTGAACTACTAAATTAATTCAAGGCACACCATATCTGCTAAAACCGTTGATTTGACAAATACTACTACCACCACTAGTCTTTTGATTTGGCGAATAAAATGTGTTAATTTCATATGGGGGTATTTCTTATTCATATTTGCCTCGTGTAATTCCCAGCAAAATACAGGTTTTATTGCCAAGCACAAGTCTTTGATATTTCAAATTTTTTTCTTTGATTTATTCTTAATCTCAAAGTTATGTTAAACTATTTGACGACTTGTCCAATGTTTTTTTTTACTATAACATCTTTTTACATA